AGATCTGTGTGAGTCCAATGTATAACTCCAAAAGAGTATGTGAGTACTGGGATGACATATGTGTTTATTGCTTTAACTGTGTGTTTTGCATTTAGCTGTGTTTTGAGAATGGCATTTAACCTACTTTGGTATTCTTTAATTAATCTTTGCTTTATTTGTGTATGTTCTGTTAGTTTGGCCTGTTGGAATCCTAAATACTTGTAGAACTCGCCACATGGTGACCACGGGAGAGTTATTATTATTATTATTATTATTATTATTTTAATTGATGTTAAAATATCACAACAATGAATTTTTAAAATTTTTTTCCTAATTTAAAAATAAAAATTTTTTACAATGTAATAAATATGAATTTTTATTATTAAAATTAAACATATTTTTAAATTTATAATTAATTTATAACAATTTGTAATTGTTTGTATTTTTAATTACAAACCTTTTAACTGAAATGTTGATATTTCATGCATTTTTTTAAAGAATAATATAAATTTATTAATTTAGTGCTTTTGTATTCCTTCCCAGGAATTGGTTTAACAGCATATGCTATTAAAACAAATCCAGATGAAACTGACTTCAGAAATCAACTATTAACATACACAAATGATATTATGATACTAAATGATGCTATTAGGAATCCTACAGCTGATAATCATATGAAATATTTAAATGCATGTGTTAATGAAGGAACAATTCGACGTCTTAATTTAATTGCTTTTTCTATTATTTGGATTGGCAATTATCATCCTGACTGTCAGTTATATCCATCACAGTGTTCTTATCTCAAACCTCAATATTTGACTTTCTATCAAAGAATTGTTGATTTTGGAATATTTGGACAATGGATTGGAATGTTACAAAAAATGAAAGATTTTGATATAAATCCTAAAGAATGGGAGAATGAACAATAGAAGTTTAAATCACATTGCAACTTGTAATTTTACACTAAGTTTTTTTATGTAAAAAATTATTCATTTAATATTTGTTAGTTTTCTAAATGGAAATCAATTATTTTTAGCTAATAAAATTAATAAATTATAAATATCACAAAACTCTTCTCAATATTTTTTTTTAAGATTTTTATAATAATTAAATAAAATGATATAGAAAATCAAGCCTAAATTATAGAAATAATCAGATGATATGGTTAGAACAGTTATCAAGCTAAAACTTGACTAATGAACTATATAAATATTATACAAATTATAGTAGACCAAATTAAATACAGCAGACTCTCAATAACTTAAATCAGAAAAGAGAGAAGACTTTTGAGTGCAGAAACTACCATTATTTTAATGAGAATGCAAAATATTACAATACAAACAATATAGTTAAGACAAATACATTAAATTTAAAATTTTTAGATACACACATATATATATACAAAACACTGACAGTATTATGTGTTTTCTGAAACCGTGTTTTACTTTTTATTAAGTGTTGAATATAAGATTGTGTTATTAATTAAACACTTGGCTTTTTTTCCATCTTTATTCAGTTGATACAGGTACTTCTACACTATTCAGGCACTTAGCCCCTCATCAGTCAACTAAGCAAGAAAGAATATATAGAGTATTCGGAACACATCATACAAATTTCTGTAAAATTTACCTTTGTATGATGTGATATTCCAAATACTGTATATGTTCTTTCTTGCTTAGTTGACTGATGAAGGGCTAAGTGCCCGAAACGTGTAGAAGTACCCATATCAACTGAATAAAGATGGAAAAAAAGCCAAGTGTTTAATTAATAACACAATCTTGTGTTCAACACTCAACTGATGGTATTAATGAGAAAAGTGTTATTGACAATTCATTGCCTTTCACTCAGCAATGGTTTGTTGTGGTCCACTACATAAAAAAACACATTATTTTATGAATTATGTAGTTTACTGAAAACCATTAAAAGTGTGGCTGCTGCCACAAGAGATTCAGAAGACTGTCTGGCAACACTTGTAAAAAGCAAAAAGCATGCGAAAGTTCATTGTCTTGTCTGTCTGTCACCAAAGAGTATGGATGTACGGTACAATATGGTTGCTCTGACCATGTATAATAAAGTATAATAATAATCTTTGACCATGTCAAAAGTCAAAAGATCAGCCACAGGGTGGTGGTAGAGCAGTTGGCCATGCAAGAGGCCATGCAAGAGGACATGCCAAGAGACAGCAGCCTTGTCAGAGTATGCAGCAGCAACAGTCAGAACCAGCTCCAATTCAAGCAGCTATGGTTGAATTCATATAAAACGGAATTATCAACAGTGTTATAGGGGGGTTGACTGTATACCAGTATTGTGTAGATTCTGCTCCCACAATCGAATCCAGTAGGATGTGACAAAGACTCCTCCATGATCACAAAGATCTTTTTGACCCCTGTTACATATCTGACAGGATGTCTGATATTAAATCACTTGTGAAATTACATGATGAGATAACAGAAGTATATTCAAAAAGGAAAACAGATATAGTATACAATGACACTTCACGCCAACGAAGTTATTCTATGATTATAACACTTACGTGTTGTGGTGTTACAGGAGTGGAGTCTTGGAGAATGAACTCGTCCAACTTTAGAAAATGAACTCGTCCGCTAGCACTTTCAGTAGTATATAACTACCGTCTTCAGGCGGTCTATCGAATACAACAGCTTATGATTTTCAAATACTTATCCGACGGTTTCACAAATTTCGGATATTCAAAATTTTCGAACAATATTTCTGTCGAATTAACTGATTTTTCGTTTTCGAATGTTATTTAAAAATCGTTTTTTGCATCATAGCGCGTGGAACGAAAACAGTTTTTCTTAAGCATGTTTTAGGAAGAATAAGGCCGTAAAAGAGCCCAGAACATGCATAAAGTATAAGATATGTCAAAAAGACATCCGAGTAGCAAAGACTTTAACATCNATTCCGCAACTCTTTATATTAATCTTTATAGAAGAAAAGGCCGTAAAAGAGCCCAGAACATGTTCTGGGCTCTTTTACGGCCTTTTCTTCTATAAAGATTAATATAAAGAGTTGCGGAATTGGCTCCAAATCACCCTACAAAGACCTGTCATGTGATAACAAGACATTTGCTCTAAGCATAAAAGGCAAAAGAAACTGTAATTTCCATTGATAAAATAAAACCGGCCTTTATTCTCACAGAGAGCAAGTCAGACTGGTTACTCCCAACGTCTTCAATGCCGAAACCAGCTACTATCCCACAGTGTTTGCAACAGGAAACAAGCAGGAAAGGATACATGTTGGCCAGTGTGTTGTTGGGTTGGCGCTGGCTTCTCTATACGCCACGCCATAGAGAACCCAGCGCCAACCCAACAACACACTGGCCAGCATGTATCCTTTCCTGCTTGTTTTCTGTTGCAAACACTGGTGGGGTAGTAGCTTGGCCACCACTGCCAGAGATTCAGAAGACTGTCTGGCAATACTATTCCTAACTGGAGTTGGCTGGCAACATTTGTAAAGAGTACACAGATAGACAAGGCAACAAACTTTCATCACCAAAGAGTATGGATGTATGATACAATGGCTGACCATGTATAATAAAATTTTTTTTGTTACAGTTCATTTAGTAGTGAAATTTGATTTAATTTTGGATCTCACGAACATGTTGGCAGTTGACTACCTAATGCCAGTATTTGAAAGATCATCAGTAGGATAGAATGCCAAAAAAGCATGAGAACTTTTTGACATGAATACATTTTTCAATTTAGTCTGGTATAGGGGGATCTCTGATTGAAGTGATGATAAGAAAACACTAATCTGGTTAAGTTGTCAAATGGATAGAGTATTGTTTGCCTTTTTACAACCTGTCCTCCTCCCCATTCCTATTTTCAGCATCTTTATTCGATGCCTACGATCAAAATTCATCCTCTGAAAGAGTATTTGAACTGATTCTTTTAGTTTTAAAATATTTTGTATGTAATTAATTCTTTCAGAATATCGAAGGTGAGACTTTGCATTTTCGTAAGGTTGGTTATGGACGACAGCATCTGCTATTTAGAAGTAAATATAATACATGTTCTATTTGAAGAGTCTGGGGATTGTAAAAATGCCCATTAACTTTAGAGGAAGATCATACAAGTTTAACTTATGAAGTCAAAATATTTACATTAAGATTGTATAAACTTACACAATTATCCAGATATATACCTCAAGTGGATCTTGATTAAAAGATCAGTTAAAACATAACATACATTCTGTGACAAAAGCTACTTTGACAATTCCAGAATGCTGGCCAATGTTAACCTCAGATTTTCAAGTCTGCTTTCTAAGAAAGCCCCATTCTTTTTTCTTACATTATTTTCAACAGCTGTTATTAATTAAATCTTCCCACTGATCAAGTCATTTAATTGCATCTTCCATCACCTGAAAAGTTTATGATAAATTTGTTTTAATATGTATATAAAAACAAAACTAAGAACAAAAATCTGTCTTTACTATATCAAGTCCTCTGATTCATGTCTTAATGGACTGATTGGATAATTGTTGTTTAAAACATCAAACAGCTGATTAATTCTTTTCACAAATGCAATTGTTGCATTTGTTAGAAAGCCTTAGTGTTGTATGACTTCCAATCCATGCACAACAGAATAACTGAAAAGCTGCAATAAATTTAACATAGTATTTTAATCTTAAGCAATTGTGCTAACTGATATTAAAAATAGAAATTTTTTATTACTTAACTTTGTTTACCTGAGCTGCTAATCATGCATTTATCTTTTGAAAACTGTTTGGATTTAGATGGGAGGAAGCAGTGCCGGCCCGAGGCAAATTTTAGGATAGAGCGAGATCCTATTATGGCGCCCCCTTGGTTGCCCCTAATTTATACCGTTTAATTTTCTTTACCACTGAGGCGCCCCCCCTAGGATTTAGTGCCTGGAGCGGCTGCTCCGTTCACCCTATGGTAGAGCCGGCTCTGGGAGGAAGTAAGCTTGGGGCACAATTTCAATCCAGTAGTATGTTTTGAATCTTGTTCCAGTAAAATTTGAAAATGTTGCAAAGAAACATTGCCTTCAGTAGATTGTTTTCAAAATAAATTTTTAATTCTTCATTTGCCAGTTTGTTATTAAGATGAGAGCATGTAGCTTTAGTTTTTGTTGTACTCAGCCGAAGTCTCCACTGATAAAAATATTGTCCTAAGGTAGACAGATCTTGTGTCAGAGTCTTCTCAGTTATCATAATGTCTTTATGTCTCATGGCGATCATCCAATCATCAGCATATCCAAATTTCTTTGCAGTTGCTTGAGGGAAGTTAGCTATGCGAAGGCTAAAAAGCAGTGGTACCAAAACAGATCCCTGAGGTAGGCCATTATTTAGTTTTCTTATCTTTACTTCTTGAATTTCCCAGGATAACTTGAAAGGATTGGTTATTTTAACATCTTGTCAATCAACTTAACCATTTTCAAGCAGAGTATCACTCAAAGCAGCTTATTAAATAGGCCATTCCATCAGACAGTGTCATATGCTACAGTGAGATCGATATACACCGCACATGTTTTTAGTTGCCTTTGGTACCCAACTTCTATAAAGGTTCTTTTTTTTTTTTTTTGTGGTTTTAGGCCTCCTTACCACTCAGAGAGCACAAAGAGGCCAAGTTTCTATAAAGGTTGTAAAGGCTAGTTAGTACCTGGTCTGAACAGCTCCTATTTGGACAAAAACCAGCCTGTTCTACTGGAATGCTCTCAAAAATTGTGTTAGTCTGTTGTAAATAAGTCTCTCTAAAAGCTTATACATCACACTCAGGAGTGAGATAGGTCAGTAACTCTCTGGTCTATTATTAGGTTTCTAGGTTTTAGAATAGCTATGATTTTAGCTTGTTTCATAGCTAGGGAATAGTACCTTTCTGTAATATGTCAGTTAAGAAGCAGGCCTTCCATTGCCTAGTGTACTTGCCACTGTGTAACAAGAATTCAGGATGGATACCATCATTTTCAGGGGCTTTACTGGCTTTTATTTGTTTAAGAGCAGTGGAGACTTCTTCAGTAACGAAGGGTAGTGAATACGCAGTATCATATATACACTTAGTTTTGAGGGACATAAGTTCTTTTTTTTTTATCTTAGTTGTGAATTCACAATCTCTAGGAGCTCTAGATGTATTTAATATATGTTCTGCAATAATATTTGGAGTAAACCAAAATTTCTCTACCTGGTTTGACAGTTGCCCCACCCAATCTTCTAAGCAGGGACCATGCCTTCCTACTGGACTTTGTAAAATCCAGGTTTTGGACAGTGTTCAACCACTTAAGGTGCCTGGTACCTGTGAAGTAGTTCGTCCCCAAATGCAAGGTCACTAGATTCTAGGAACCTTGCATACAGGTATTCACTTTTTCACTCCATCTAGGGATATATATCTTGCGATATCCTCTAGATATACATTTTTTGGCTATACTAATCACTGCTCTGATAAATCTTTTAAAGTTATTGGATGTAGGTGGAATCCATCCCAAACATTTATCAAGAATTTCAGAGAACCAGTCAGCCTTACTAAAATTCCATCTTGGGCATGGTACACATTTTATTGTAGGAATACTAAGTCCAATTTCCATTATTATTGGGTGGTGCTGGCTATGAGGGAAGTGAGCTAAAACTGTACATGTAGCTGGTAATGGTTGTCTATTTTCATCTGAAGACACAGAGCATAAATCAGAGTTATATTCACGACCCCAAGCACTGGATTTGAAGGTGCATCGATCTTTAGCATCAAACATTAGGTAGAGATTATTTTCTTTGGCCCATTTAATTACCATTTTACCATTTGGATCAGTGTCACAGTATTTCAGAACTCATGGTGACTGTTGAAGTCTCCTAGCTAGACAGCAGGATGGAGTAATTGTGGTATGACATGTTGTGGCCAAGTTATAACTGGAGGCTTATAGATAATGCTAATTGTTATTTGGCCAACCTGTAAAGAAACCACATGAATGTTGTCATCAGTAGTTGCTTTACAAAACAGACATCATCAATGTCACTATGGGCATATATTGCTATGCCGTATGTTTTGTGGTAAGTTGATCCAATCAGTTCAAAACTAGGAATCACACCTCTTGCCTGAAGATGGTGTGCATTCTCAGTGTGTCTCTTGAATTGCAACTACATCAATTTTGTTATCCTTTATAAATTCTATGTAAATATTGGCATTTTGCTCGACTAATGCCTTCAATATTAATTTGACAGATATTAATTTTAGGTCCAAGGTCTCTCTACTGGGTTCCTTAGAAGGACCATTGTGATAATGAGTCATGAGAAATCAGTTGAAAGATGTGTATTGTCAAGGAGATCCTACAGATTATTTGGACACCAAGAATTGCTAGTTCATTTAGTTCACAAATAAACGTTATCCAGAGTGCACCACGAGGAGGCGAACTAGCTTTACACCCCACTGTATTGGAAAAAATATAAGTATGGATAGTATATCTTTGAATGATTGCCATGCCGAAGTACTTGTACAAAGATGTTTGAAAAACTTTCTGTATCGTCATTGAAAATTCATAGCTACTGGACAAAATAACAATTCAATCTTTATTGAAGATAAAAGAACAACCGGTTACCAACTCAAATCCAACATAAAATTTCATCTTTACGTTAGTGAGCCACTTTGTGGTGATGCAAGAATATATTTTCCTGAAGAATTTAGTCTCAAATCTTTACATTGTAGTGTTTGTGGGGTTTTGAGATCAAAAAATGAATTCAGAAAGGAATGTTTCTATATTACAACAGTAGAGTTAATAAAACATCAGGAACAACAGTTTATAACAAAGTCCTGTTCTGATAAAATTGCCACCTGAAAAGTTTTAGGAATATAAAGTTTGCTGCTTAATTATTTCATACAACCAGTATATCTGGAAAGTATTATTTTTGGAAGTGTGATTTATCCTGGATATATATTTAGAGCTATGTGGGGTCATTTTGAGAAATTGCTTAAAATTTTGCTGGAACCTTATCATTTAAAAGAAAAACCTAAAATATGCTATATGAGAAATCCTGAAAATTATGAATTTGTAATACTTCAAAATTTCAGTGTTAATTAGTTAGTTGGATTTAAAGACCCAGAAACTATTAATTCAACTGCAGGAAAATCCATTTTCTAATTTCCCTGCATATATACTGGTATATACTGTTGTTCCTGATGTTTTATTAACTCTACTGTTGTAATATAGAAACATTCCTTTCTGAATTCATTTTTTGATCTCAAAACCCCACAAACACTACAATGTAAAGATTTGAGACTAAATTCTTCAGGCAAATATATTCTTGCATCACCACAAAGTGGCTCACTAACGTAAAGATGAAATTTTATGTTGGATTTGAGTTGGTAACCGGTTGTTCTTTTATCTTCGATAAAGATTGAATTGTTATTTTGTCCAGTAGCTATGAATTTTCAATGACGATACAGAAAGTTTTTCAAACATCTTTGTACAAGTACTTCGGCATGGCAATCATTCAAAGATGTACTATCCATACTTATACTTTTTCCAATACAGTAATGCTTTTTGTGCCAGTGCATATAGCAAAAATTTTTATTTTATCCATTTCTAAATCACATCATGACAATTCTGGCTAGTACTTTCCATTTTGTGTAATATTCATAGTTAACCATTATTTTTTGAAATGTTTCATGAATAACACTATATATTCTATTTGTTACTTGTTATTTGTTGATTGAGAGAGTAAATATTTTTCAGGTAAAAATTCCTGATTCATATTTTTCTTTAGAAAATTAATACCACACAAAGTGTACAAAGTTGATCTTACAGCTGCAACTTTGGCTAATTTTTTAGTTCAATCAGAGCCTTCAAATGTAATATCAGAACACTGTAACCGTTATTCCAAAAGTCATGGAAACTTGCGGATGGCCTATCGAATAGGTTGAAAACATTAGTTTGTATGGAAATAAACAATCTCAGCAAATTAAGGTGCTTGGCAAGGATTGTGTATTAAGTCTCTGCTTAGCATAGTGTTGTAGTTTATATCAACTTCAATGCTCATTGCAAACCTCTTCAAAAGAACCAATTCATTTTCTTTTATTAAATTAAATTTTAAATCAGAATGAAGTTCGTTTAATAGCATAACAGGGTGTTTTCCTTCTACATCATTATTCATTATGTTATCTCAATCTATTTTCTCAGAATACTTAAAATGTTATCTGTTTGGCTTTCAAAATCATTAACTTGTTTAAAATTGTTGATGTTATTAGAAATATTCAGGCAAGAAAAATTTGAAATATTTGTTGAGTTATGAACATAACCAATTGCAGCTAATGCATTCTCTGCAGCTTGTTTTGAACGACCTCAGCATGCAAGTTTTTCATTATTGATATCAATATGGTAAATATGGGATAATATGGTAACCTTTCACTTTTAACTGTATATTGCAAATCAATTTTTAATTCGTTTAATATCATTAATGTATTTTTCCGTGGCTATTCTTCAGCACTTTTAATTGTCGATCTAATGAAACACTTTTTCTCTTTAATAATTAACGATTCATTAATATTCGATTAATATTTAAATAATTGCCAACTTTAATTTTGATATTGACTATAATTGCAAATTTTGCAATATTTCAAAATACTTTTTATATTATAAATATTCCCAAAATGTTGGTTATATACTTACATTTTCAAAACACTTCTTTGCTGTTGTCAACCAAAAATAGTAGTAGTAATTTATTATTATTATTATTAATGACTTTTCATGATATATTAAAATATCTAAATTATATATATATAGGCCAAACGAGTAAAAATTCCTTGAATTTTTGTATTCGTGTTTTAATGTTCTTTTTCCCGCCTTTTGTAACCGTCATCGTCTGTTTCTCTTTTTTAAACGAAAAACAAAACGCCCTCTTTTTTTCTTTCTTTTTTTTTTTTGAGTTCAGAAATTTCACTCGTCTAATCTAAATACAGTGAAAACTGCTTAGGCGACCACCTGCATTCGACAGGCACCCGTCAAAACGGGCGAAAATTTCTGGCACGGAGTTTATCCATAGAGTCTTCGTATAAGTTATCTGTATTAAACGACCACCTGTGTAACACGACCGCGGGCATCGATTTTTGGTCCGAAACAACATACAACAACTGTAATAAGAGACCAATTTCGCGAATGTATCTGGTCTAAACTATTGTAAGAACCCATCTCAACAAAGTTTCCACCTCCTAATATAATGAATTAGTCTAAACTCTCGTTCGAACCCATCTCGGGCACTTCTCCCACCCTTGAAATTAGTTAGATGCAGGTGTTAATAAATTAGTCTAGCAACAAAGGAAATTCATTTCAGTTTGTCGGAAAATGTCCGAAATGCAAAGTGCTGTCGTTAGAAGATCGTATTAAAGTTATCACAACAGCAATTAGCGGCGAAGTTTAACTGTGGGAAAACAAAATTTATTTTACCCTAGACTTACAATATTTTCCTTGGGGGTGTAAAATATTGTACACGATATAATTAATCGGCTGATCTCATCGTTTGATAAAATCTATTTTTATTTATTTATTTTGAAGCTCATATACAGTACACGTGCGATAAATAGTTTCTGTATCAACCTACCTTATTTCCACGATATTTTTAGAAAAATAATATCCAAGTAATTTTCGCAGGCAAAATATTCAAAAAACAATAAACGCATTAATGCAAAAATCAGTTTTACTTCCTTTTTCGATTCCGCGATTGTAATGAAATCGTATAATGAGAAAAAATAATAAAATCGTTTTATTATTAATTAATAATTTTTCTTATTGTACTTAATTAATTAAGAAAATATTAAATATTAAAAAATACAGTATTTTTAAAGTTAAAATAAGATTAAACTAACGAAAACCAAAAGCAAAGTGATGGAGAGATAGGACGCGCTTGTATATTGATGACGTAATACACGTAACTGAGGAGCGAACGAAAAGAACCGAGTCGAATTAATTAAGTCGGAAAAAAGAAAGTGTGCATTATAATCGAGAAAATGCGAGTATTGTATTAATCTTTAAAATATTGGTGTTAAATCTGTCTTATAATATCATGACGACTCCTGTAAATCGGGTTATCCGATAAGAATAAAATACAATACCAATATAGCCCTATCGTTGAAAAAATTCGCTTATTTTTGCTCACCTGGAGTTTTGCTTAGTAGAAATGGCTAAAAAGTGCGCAAAATATGTACGGAAATACGGTATACAGCACCACCTGTATTCGACGACCACCTGTCTAAAAGACCACTTTTTGAAGGAACCGTGAGTGGTTGCCATAGACAGGTTTTACTGTATATAAAATTACTTGTCCTGACTGAGTGATTGATTCATCATCGCCCAGAGCAAACCGTTGAACCTAAAGAGGTGAAATTTGGTACATAGTTAAGGTACGTCATGAAAACGCGCACTAAGAAGAGATTTTTCGAAATTCCCCCGTGAGGAGAAAGGAAGAGCATTAAAGCTTAACCTGAAGAACGGCTGCTACTGTACTATTTTAAATGCAATTTTTTGTTTTCAACTATGTTTAATCTTCATTGAGTACTTGAGTGTATTGAATTGATAACATTTCAGACGTTGTTTTAAATATTTTTATATATTTAGATTTTTTTAACCAAATGTTCGAACCGTTTTAAATTCGAATTTGTTATTGCATATTGGTTCGATTACAGAACGATTGTAAACGTTCCAGAAAATTGATCAAATTGAAAACAGTTCGTTTGATTCTCAGCAATTCTCATCATTCTCAGTGGTAGGTGTTATATGACAATTACTATGGTTGTTGAAATACTGAATATAAATGGTGTTTGCTGAAAAATCCGCGCGGGCGAAGTCGCGGGTAACAGCTAGTTAAGAGGATGCACATCTCACCAATCACATAAAACGGTCTGAATGTAGTGTATTAAACTCTTCCAGCTGACCGGTAGTCCCGACGGCCGGACGGATGAGGCAATTAAGGGGTTAAGATGGTCAGATTACCGCTCTGGGACATTTGGGATCGAATCCGGCGGTCGAAACACTCCAGAAGTTTTTTATGAGCGGTCCTTTTTAAGTATGCTGGACTTCATCCTTCATTAGCTAGTCTTCCCCATTTTTCTCATACCTTGAGAAAAAGGCCTTCTTAGTTCTCACATGGCGGATAAAACCAGAATTGAAAAAAGACTGTGGTCCCCACCATCAAAGTAATTTATTCATCCTTGTTCAGCACTGTGCTTTATCCGTAAAAGTATAAACAAAGATCATCATAACCCGTATGGTTTAGACTTATGGCACAACACACTATATATATTTTTTTCATTTTTGGCTCATTTTGTCCTGTAGGCTACCGTCCACCAATGGACGAATAGATAAAACCACTGAAGACCGATCAACGGGCTGGCCATGTGTTTTTCGGGTTTTCTTTATGTTTGTAACTGTCACGTCATGTCTCACAACAGCTAGTAAAGGGCGAGTCAAGTTCAGCGCCCAAGGGCTTCGCTGCCCGATTAATAAGCTGAGAAACCGCGGACACTTCTCTTCTTTGGTCCTGTTCTGTACTGTACAGTACATATAAATGTGTACAGCAAATAAACGTGTAATGTGTTAAAATAAAAATGTATAACGCATGACTTCAATTAAGTGAAATTAGGTAACTAAAATAATTGTAAGGTAATATTTGTATTTTTAAAATTAGCAAAAATCAGTATTAATGTTAGTATAATACCGGTATTTCGATTTTGAAAATCGAACAGAAAACCGGTAATATCGATATTTCAACCCCTAACTATCGCGCGGACATGAGCTATATACTTCAGTTATCATTTGGCAAAATAATAATAATATTAAAGAAGCAAAATTTTATTATTTGCCAAATAACAATTATACAAAATTTTTTTTGAATTATTAATAAAATTATTTTGATTGTAAGAAAGTAAATTTTTTTAAAGCTATGAACTGGCAACACGTATTACGGCACGTCACATAAACATAAAATGGACAGAAGACTGGATATTCCTCGATTAAGTTCTGGAAACTTAGATTTTCACGTAAGAAATTTTCTAATTACATAATTATAATAAAATTTATAAAATTCTTAACATTATCTAGAAATTAAACTAAAAAGTATAAAATTTTAGTATTTAATAAACTTGTACATTGCGTATAGCATCTGTCGAACATACATTTTACACTCAATAGAAAAATATTTCGCATAACAAAGTAGTTATACGCAAGATTTGAGTATTAGAAATGAACAGGTTTGGTTAGACTTATAACCATGCATTTATATATAATTGAAAATGCATGAATACTTGTCATATTTAATCATTTTTAACCAAAATCACTTGTTTTTAGTACAAAAATATCAAATTAAAATTATATATAGAATAAACACATAAAAACTAAATGCAAACAACATAAATGAATGCAAAATGAGAATTTCAAGAAATGAAGAATGAATATAAATGAATCAGAACTGACCATTTGTGCAGTTTGATCTTATAAACAACAAACAATTGAGAGTAATTCGGTTGATAAAATCCAAAAAAAACAATCAGATTCCAGCCTAATATAAAGGTGATAAGTTTCAAATCAAAAGAAGTAACAGCTAAAATTGTACAGTCAAATTGTAAAATTTTATCAAGAAACAACTGTCACTTGTACATTTTTTGAAAAGTTACATTTTTAAAGAGTCTTACATGAATGTATTCAAAATAAAATATATAATTAACATCTTAAAAAACAAATATAATGACAGAAATATCCTAACAGTAAAACCTCACTAAACCTTTGGGATACACAATTTCTAGCCACTTAAGTGGGGTTATGAGAAATTAGATATACAGAACTGTAGAGTACTGTTAAATGTTTAATATGGATTTCAGTTGTTAAAATGGATGCTAATATGGATTTTTCAAAACTATAAAAACAAAGCTCAATTCTGTTTAAATTTTAAAAAAATAGGTTGAATTTAGGAATGTGGGATTTTCTTGTTCTGTTGGCCATGTTAATTGGGATAAATATCAACCAAGATGAAGTTTGATTTATATTAATACATGTGCAGTAAGTGAGGTTTTACTGTGTTTACGTTTGGAAGTGTTCTAAGTTTTACTTTCTAATCCAGATAAAGCTGAGAGACCTACAATAGAAATAATACAAAATGTTGTGAAGAATAAATGTTTGGATAATTGGAAAGCGTCTTATGTAAATAAAAGAACAGATTTAAATGCTTTTAATTAAAAGGCATGAAAATTTTCTAGATTAATTCTGAGATAAAATACTTCCCAACTGAGATTAAACTCTTTGCTATGATAAAGGCAAATATCAGGGAAAAATTTATTCTCATAGTTAAATATGTTACACTTATCATACTTTGCATTTATAACTTGGAGTTGAGTAGCTAATAGAAAAATTATAGATGAAAGTATGAACTGAATATTTTAAAATCTAATGTAAAGAACAATGTAAAGAAATTTAGTTTACAAAATGGTTAACCAATTTAGGATTGTTTTTTTTTTTTTAACAAAATGATGAATCTAAACATTTTTGACTTGTTAAGAAATCAATCTTTTTAATCTGTTTAAATATTACAACTAATTTACGATCCATACAATAGCCATGCTAAATTTTTTACATGTCATGTAAAAAATTTAGCATGGCTATAACATTAAATTAATTAAATTAAAATGAAACAACACAATTCCATTAAGTTCAATTTTGTCTGTATTTGAAGAAAAGCCACTTCTTATCTTACAAGTTAGTATTTATACTGTTGGCCTCTATGTTAAAATTTGTTATCCATTTATGTTTTGTTTTTTATAAGTAGTAATAAATTTTACTTTTCTAGATGACGACATATAGTAGAAAAGCAGATTTTGGTTGCAAAAATGATTATGGTTGGTCAATATAAGAGATGTTCAAAAAGTTTCCATTCAATAGCACTGCAGTTGCATGTATGATGCATGCCATGACCAGTGTGAACTGATATGAAACCACTAATCTAGCTGTGTGATTAGTAAGATTTTCATTGCACTCAGAATTGTATGTGGTTTATGCCATACATATATTGATGGCATCATTGCTACTAAATATGTCTCAATCATATAAGTGCACTTTTGCCTTGTTTTTGGCTACAAAAGGATATAAACCAATGGACATTCATCTATAAGCCAATGTATTAAAATTTTAATATACTGGTTTATAAATATAAAAAAAAATTAATCTTAAGTGGGATGTTCATCAAAGAATAATGATGATGCACAAGGATGCATACATGTCCAAAACCACCATTGTGGAATTGTGTGCAAAATTGGTTGCAACAATACATACTCTTATGCTGATAATGTTGTCAAGCAGAAGTTGGACATCCTTAAATGGGAAACCCCTTTGGTCTACTGAAAAAGTCTCTGAAAGAACCAGTTGTATGATGTAAAGAGGGCTGTATCAAATATTTTATGAAGCAGCCAATCAACTTCTACTAGATAGGCATTGTTAATCTGGGCCAGGTTCAGTAACACAGAACACCTAAGTTAGAATTCTGAGTGGCTTAGTGGACGGAGCTAAGAATGTTCTGAGCATCATTGAACGATTATTGTTAGACAACTGGGTAGAATGGTGGACAAAGTTAAAATTAGATTGCAAACAAATTAATGAAGCAATTATTAATTGTAATCAACAAAATGGACCATTATCATTCGTTAAAATGTATTCTGAATCTGTTATACCGATGTATGATAATTTAACATTTCAAATTCATTTTTAGAATGAGTTAATGATTTAGAATGAGAGAATAACTTTGTGATTGTTATAATAGAATATGTTTAGTCCAACACAAGCAGCCACCTTGCAAATCATATGAAGAGACAAAAACAATCACATCACTAGTAGAAGTTAGCATAGATAAAAGAAGCTGACTGAACTAGCTAGAATTCTAGCAGTGGGAGGAGTCAAGCAGTAGTTAGAAACGAGTTCAACATTGCAGCATAACTAGATTTATTAAGAATTCTGCGTTACTGAACATGGCTGATTTATTAATGGGACAATATCTTTAATGTCAGTGGTGATTACTTTTAAATGTAATGAACCCCCAAGCCCTATAGCTCTCATTTAGAAACTTTTTGATCATTTCATATTTTCATAGAAATTGAAAAAATTATATTTATTATTATATTTATAATTTTTGTCCTTTAGTCTTAAAGTTTTTTTTCCAACTTTGTAATGTGTTGTCATTTTCATTAAAAAATTAAAAATTATTATACAGGTAGCCCTCGGTTTATGCCGATTCACAATAACACCGCTGCGCAATTTGCTGTTTTGCGGTGTAATTCTCTGATTTTCCCTATGCCAGACTGATTTTTGTTTCAGTGTTGACGTATTTACTGAGCCACAACATTGTACATTCATTAAAATAAAGATTTTTATTGAATATATTTATTTTTTCTGTTTAATATTATTGGATATGTATACATTTGCATTAAATTAATATTAAAATACTAAATGTTTGGGTTCCCACAAGTCAAGTTATTAAACTTAATAGTCCAATAAATGAGTCAGAATCCAGAGTGCTAATGAATGTGAATAGTTCGTATCCCGTATCAGTTCGTTCAGGAAAACACCTTATGACACAGTAGCACTTCTGGTGATCACAAATTATCATTAGTGAGATGAAATCTACTTCTTGTTGGCCAGACAAATCTACTTCTTGTCAGTCAGATGATATCTAACTCTACTTAGCAAGACAAAACTAACTTCAATTTTCCTGCCCAAACTGATCTTATATATGTACTACGGCAGCCGGTGGTCAACCAATCAGCATCTCTGCTCGTCTGTAGCTCTATTTCGGGTTAGCGTATCCTTTCAATTATGGAAAGTTTGACGGATGAACTTTGTGAGTTAGACAATGATTGGGAGCAAAGTGCAAATGTAAAGAAGAGCATCATCGCATCCATTCGATCATATTCTGAAATTATTAATGAAAGAAAAGAAAAATCTAAGCAATTACAAATGAATACTTTTTTCCAAAAAATGTAAGAGATTTGAAACTTTGAAATATCATTTGTTTTTCTTAAGATTTTTTAAAAATTAAATTTATAATATATGTACAGTCATACCCCGGACTTACGCGATAGGTGGGACTGAGCGATAACCGCGTAAGTCGGGGTATAATTTTGCATTTAAATACATACAAATTATTTTTATTGGGACCGGAGACTAAAGAAAACAATAATTTAGAAAAAAATGTTTAATAAAATCTTAGATAATACATACTGTATGTATAACAAATTATATTATTATACAATTTTTCACATTAACTTGATTATCAAACCATAATTTTAACATTGTTTCCATCTCAGCGATAATACCGTGACGTTTACGAATGATGCTTGAATTTAAAGATTGAGCATTTTTTACAGCTTCGAGAATTTTTTCTTTACCTTTTATAGTTGTTCTGACCGTCGATTCCGGTAGATCAAACTTCTTTGCCAATTTACAAATTTTCATTTTTGTATCGAAGTCTTTAATAATGTTAACTTTACATTCCAAAGATAAAGTTTTTCTTTTCTTGTTTGATGCAGAAGAATCAGTTCTACTTCGTTTGGATGACATAGTAGAGTGTTAAGATTAATCATATTCGTTATTGTAAACCGCGCTTAAGTTAGGCGCCATCTGTTCATTTCTTTTGTATGTCCGACGATCAAAAGACCGCTTGAGATCGAGTCTGTTTATAATTTGAAAGGTAATCTTGTCAGTTGTATATACAAAAGGTAAATTGTTTACAAAATGAGTTTATTATCTTTGTTTATTATCTGATAAATGTATACTTTTTTCGTCAATTGTTTACGATTGCAGATGCCTTTTGTGTAAAATCCAAGTCGGATGTATGTAAGCTAATAAATGTTCTCGTTAATCTTATCTCGCCTTTTGGTTCGTTCAGGGTTACAAGAAATCATCACATAGAGTCTCTCAAGTCTCCATAGATATAACAAACAGAAATAAATTACACAAAATAAATTGTAGCTATGCGTCGATTCCGCGCGACACATCCGAACATGTAAGCCGAACCATAGTGTGGGAAGAGTGAGTAATCAAGGGTTGCATGGTGCTCAAACAAAAGACGAATTGACGAGATTTGAAAATCGTGTAACTCCAGGTTTGCGTAAGTCGGGGTATGACTGTATTTTGTATTATATTGTATTAATAAACAAAATTATTTGCTTATTTTTCACTTATGTAGAACCTAACCCTATACCTCACTGTAAATATGGGTTCATTTTACGTCAATTCGATTTGCGCTGGCTTTTGTAGGAACGGAACTGCAGCATAAACCGAGGGCTACCTGTAATTACATATTTTGAAAATATGTATATTTTTATTAACTTACTCAAACAGTACAAATATATACATATGTATGTATGTATATATATATGTACTAACAATCCACAAAACCTTTTTTTTATAACAGTGTTTTGTTCGTAACAAACTTCACAAATGTTTTTGACCTCCACCGAGGTCTGCTTCAGGTGGTGACTAAACGGTGTCTCCTCTTGACCATTGGAACGATGACGCCCGAGATGTAAATAATTGCGTGTATCGCGTTTCACTCCTCCACTTGTCCTGGTTTAAATTCTTCGAACAAATACTANCCACAAATGTTTTTGACCTCCACCGAGGTCTGCTTCAGGTGGTGACTAAACGGTGTCTCCTCTTGACCATTGGAACGATGACGCCCGAGATGTAAATAATTGCGTGTATCGCGTTTCACTCCTCCACTTGTCCTGGTTTAAATTCTTCGAACAAATACCTCCACGTCTGCGCGATCGTTTCACCATCTTTAAAGTTGATGCAGGTGCTCCCCATGTTGGCTTTATAAATCTCCCAGGCCTCCAGGTGACGGATGTGAAACGCCTGTCTGATTACTCTGGTGTTTTGGAAGTCCGCCCAGATTTCAGGGTTGGTAATGTAGGTCAACAAGGCGGTGGTGTGCCTGTTTGGTGTAACGTAGGTCAACAAGGTGGTGGTGCACCTTGTCAACCTATGTTACCGACCCTGAAATCCGGGCGGACTTCCAAAACACCAGAGTAATCAGACAGGCGTTTCATATTGATCACATCCGTCACCTGGAGGTCTGGGAGATTTATAAGGCCAACATTGGGGGCACCTGCATCAACTTTAAAGATGGTGAAACGATCGTGCAGGCGTGGAGATATTTGTTCGAAGAATTCAAACTGGGACAAGCAGAGGGGTGAAACACGATACGCGCAATTATTTACATCTCGGGTGTCATTGTTCCAACAGTCAAGAGGAGACATCGTTTAGTCACCACCTGAAGCAGACCTTGATGGAGGTCGAAAACGTTTGTGAAGTTTGTTACGAACAAAATACTGTTATAAAAAAAGGTTTCTTGGATTGTTATTACTCAACGCAGTGTTAAGTTGTTAGAAGTCGTTTTGTATGTATGTATGTACTATTTGAATAAGTTATCAATGAATGAATTAGAATTTAGGTTATTGAGTAATTGAAATTCAAGATATAAATAATATATTTATGATAATTATGAAATAATTTACATGAAATATATACTTTCAAAAAATCACTTATGGCAGCTGCTATTTCGTTATACAGCTTTCAGGAAAGCTGTATATGATAGTCTACCAAACTGAAAATCGGATTAAAGAGACACATTCACAATGAAATATATAGTTTATGCAATTGAAATAATAAAAACAAAAATGATTAATTATATGTTTTAAATTTTTTTTAGGATGAAGAACAAGATCAACTAGAGTTCAGAGGTTTGTCAATATTAATTCTTAAGATTGTTTTCTGAATATACAAGAAATACATTTCTTTCAGTCACAAAATGAAATTCTGCCTTCTTTGACTATGGATAACAGTACAGTAATGTTTAAATAAATAAAATTTATCAATAATAAAAAAAATTACAGTTTAATGTTGAAAGATGTTTGGCCTGTATTTGATTGCAACATCTGCATTCATG